AGCAGTCTTGGTTTCTTTAGTATGAAATAGAGCTGATAATCCCTAGCGGCATAATTGCTGCAAGAACTAATAAGGCAAGGTACGGAAAGCTCCTAATAGGTCAGCTAGCACACCCGTCTCTGATAGTCACTACTGTTTCTATACATTCATGCAAACACTGACGCAAAGACTATAAACAGATACCAGAAACCCAAAACACACTGACATGTACACTAACAGCTACTCTGAAAACCTGTCTGACCCTGTGAGCCCAGAAAGTATGGTTGCTTTTCAGCTGAGTTCTGGAACTTTCCTGAACAAGCATCTCGGAGGACTCACAACTGATGAATGGATGCCAAGAAAAGAGCTGGAAAAATGGCATCCTGCCCAGTCGAAATGAAATGCTAAGAATTCCTGTCCTAGTTACTTTTAACCCTGGATGGGGCTGGATGACATTTTTAAGGTTTGATTTTAAGGTGTCCAGCGGGGTTGGGGGGAATTCTGAGGGGAGTGGCGCTCCCCAAGTGAGAGGAATGGAGGCAACACAAGTCAGCCATCTAGCGTGAGGCGTGCAGAGTGCCAGACAGTCAAAGGCATCAACCTGGGCTCCATCTCTGTGCCATATTCCAAGGAGTAAATGATGCCTGTGATCCCTCCAGAGCCTTGGGATGGTTTATATATGGCAGCTCAAATGACAGCACCAGGAAGAAGGGGGGGGGGGTACCGGAAATCACATCCTTCCTTCCTCTTCCAGGTTCACTCTGCTGTTCTGAGGCAGCATGATTCAGGGTAACACTTTCCCACAGGAGGCCAGCCCCAACTTCCCTGAGGCTCCCACTTCCAACCAGGGATGCTTCTCCATTCTGTGTCCCTCCTAGTGCCCTATCTCCTCTTCTGGGTCGACCCTCAGAAAATCTGAGTCTTTGGTTCAGCCCACCTGATTTTTCCAGACTTTATGGCCAAACATGTACTGGAAGTTTACCATGTACACCCACCAAGGAAAGGCAGGTTCATATCATCCTTGAAAACATGTTCTTTTTCATTAATGGTGTTTTCATAATGGTCCATGGTGATCTGGTGGAAAACACACTGTGTATTTAGCCACCAGGAAGGTTTGAGGATTTAAAATGGCTGCACTATGAATTCTGTAGGACAGATGGGGAGAGGAATTTCTAGCTGAAGGAGAACAGAGGCTCCTGTCTCCGAGTTGCAACTTCACCCACAGGGAACCTTCAGCTTTCCACTTTCATGGTGGATTGGAGATTGCTCTGATATTCTCCCAGCTGCTTTCACATTCTGGCTTCCCTCCTCCCCTCCTCTTAACTCCTCCATCTCTCTAAATCGCCCCCCCTCCTTCCTTGCTTTCTCCCTCTGCCTTGTCCCCAGGGAAATAAACGAATCAAGCAAGCCTCCGGGCTTCAGACTCCAAACAAAGAGATGCTCAAACAACAGGCCAAAGGAAAAAGAAAACCTAATCTCCCAACTCAACTGGCCAAGTCCCCAGTGAGATTTTGGAGGACTTAGGTTGCTGGAAACTCAGTCTGATCTTATCCAACATTTTCTTTTCTGCATCATCTAAACATGCACGCGCGTGCAGGCACACACACACACACACACAGAGACAAGGCATAAAAACAAGAACATTTCATTAACAATCTTTACAGGATGGGACCAGAGCAAAGTGGCAAGCGTCAGTCATGAACATCCATGAGGGAAACAGATTTTCCCAGTGTCTCACTCCAAAGCTTCTTAGTTTACCACAGCTCACAGTCACCAGCAATTACCTGATTTTTAAGGACAACAGTCAGGGAGAGAGGGAAGAGAGAATGGTTTTGATGGGCCTGCAGACACAAAAGAAAAGTCCTCGGCCAAATGAAAGCCACGATCCTGAGGGACAGAACATTTTCGCTGGGGTGTGCTTGAAAACAACAGAGATGAGAGAGGACCATGTCTTAAGGCTTCTGAAGAGAGACATCGTTGCTAGTTCAAGGAAAATAGTGCCATGGGGTGGCTAAAAGCTCTGTTCCTATTCTGAGCCTCTGGAATCGATGTCTCGTAGAAGCAACATTCTGCTAGGTCCCAAGCTTCATCACCAGTGTGTCATGTAAGGTAAGGGCTTTTCCCTCTGTGGCCTTAGTTTCCTCTGTCAAAAGACTATTTAAACTCCAACCTCCTGATGTGCATAGGTTGGGACTAAATGTGAAATATGAACATTATTGGCACCAGAAAGAAAGAAAGCCCAACACCTAGTAGGTACCAAGAATCGGTCAAGGACATCATGGCCACCATTTCACAGTCATGCTATATGTCCAGGGAAACTGATTTCCAATTTTCACATAAGAAAACCAAAGTTCAGAGAGGTTAGGCAACTCTCTCAAGATCCCCTATACCAGCAGGAAATAACGGAAGTGGGCTTCTGTCAAGGTATGCGTACAATTCTCTAAGCAAAACACAACTTGACTGAAAACCCATAGAAACCAAGAGTGAGCAACTCCCAGTTCTGAGTCTCCTGAGGAAAAAATTTTCTGCAAGACTCCTCTGGCTCCTTTGGTCCCTTCTCATTTGTCCTTCAAACCCTACGTCGGAGCTCCACTTCACCTAAATGTAAAAGAAAGATGTTGAGAAGAAAGGGAAAAAGAGCTGTCAGACTGAGTGACTAAAGGGCGCTCACTGGCACGAGGAGTGAACTCACAAGTCTGGAAAAGACCTAGCACGTCAGCAGAAACCAAACACAGCCTATTCCTTTCTTCACAGCGCGTCTCCATGCTGGAGTCACCCACACGGTGACACACACACAGCCCTAGGGCTTCTGAGGACCCAACCATCCAAAGGCCTCTCCGGATGGAGGGGGGAAAAAAAAAATGCAAAGTGTCTGCCCTGAGCAGAAGAAAGAAAAGGACTGCCTCTCACATGCGAAGTTGGAACTGAAGAGAAATGGGAAGAGGAATCCAGAAATGCTTCAATTCCAATTTGGATCCCACAGCTTTCTGCATGTGACTCGTCAGCTGCCCAAGCAGGAGACCTTCTTTCGGCATGCCTGAGCCGTGGCTAGTGCTAAATGATTTCTGTGGCACCATCCGGTCACTCTGAGTTCTACAAAACATGGGAGCCCTCGACGCTGCACTTGATTCTGTCAGCTCGGTCAATGGGGTGGAAGGTTCCCTTGAGTGGGAATGGATGTGGACATTACAGTCACTGCCGATGGCACCTCTGCCACCAGGAACACCTCTTTGCAGACAAATGGCCTTTCGGGTGGACCGTCTTGTTTTTAGCAACAGTGCTGACACCAGTAGTGGTAAAAAGGAAACAAGGATGGCAATAATGACGGCTAGAATTCACTGAGTACGTGCCGGTGGCTAGCACTGTGCTCCGTGCTTTTCATGCGATCTCATTAAATCATACCTATTGCACTGCCTAGAGGTCCTACTGGTCTCCCCATTACACAGATGGGGTCAACCCTCAGAAAGGGAGCTAGCTCTCAGTGTCTTCAGTGCTGTCTGAACCCAGAGTTGGAGCCCTCAGTCCACATCATTACAGAGTGCCTAACCTCTAAGTTCCTTTCTCATTCTTTAGGCTTCTACAAATGCACCCTCCTTCCTACATTTCTGTTTATTCCCCTACACTGCATGGTGAGCCTTTACAAGCCTGCCATTCCAAACAACACTATTTTATTATTTCTGGCTGCCCCATGACTATTTATAGGCTGAAATGCCCAGTGGAGCCAACATGTTTTAATGTTTGAAAAAAAAAAAAAAAAAAAAGAACTTCCGAGGGGAAAGAGCATCTGATGGAAAGGCAAAACCTTTACAAGCACTCAAGGAGCCCTTAAAATCCAAATTTCCAAAATATGGTAATTCTGTCAAAGTTGTGACTGACTCCGGAGCCCAGGGGGATCCTCATCCTGACCCATCTGTGAAAGCCATCGGCAGCCAATAACCCTTCTGCCAAATCGGCCTCCAGCAAGGAGGCCAGGCTGCTTCCTTTAGTTTGAGTCTCGTGGAGATGCTATAAAACAGTCTCCGGGAAGAGATGGTCAAGCAAAGCAAATTGGAGCCTTGCAAGCTTTAGCTTTGGTGCACGGCAGTCCGAGCCGATATATTCACGGCACGCTGGAGCCCTCCCCTGACTGTGGTCATGGATGCATGGCCTGGAAGCGGAACTCTCTCGCGGGGGGGAAATAATACATGTGCCTAAATTATGCAAGAGCCGTGCTTGGGCCCGCGGATGGCATCGCACCTGGTACAGATCACTCACCCTGGTGTGATTTGGCCCGGCCCGGCTTATTGAGGGTTCGTAAAAGTCCCACCGGACCCCAGCGTATTCTAAGACCGCACAACAAAGAATAATGGGATTAAAGATCTGGATTTCATCGCAAGACCTCCGTGGCGGATTAGTAATGCTCTGACCGGTTTTGCGGCAACCGAGAGTGAGGAGGAGCACTAATGAGGAGCACTCCTCCAAAAACCCAGTGTAGACAATACGCTGAGTCATGTGATTCAGCCTGGTAGTGCAGGCATAGTCGGGAGCTCTGTCACCATTTCTAACATGAAAGCGCTGGCTAAAATTAAACCTAAATTATTTGAGCACCATTTCTTTCCCTGGAAGTCTCAGCAAAGTCCTCCTTCCCCAGACCCTCTAATGGTTTCTGATATCCGGAGCAGAAGAGACGACTGGGCATGAACATGAGCAGGTGTTTGGTTTTTAAACCCTCTCCCCTTCACGATTATTTTTTAAAGCTAGCTGCACTTCTTTTTACAGAACTGCTGCTTCTAGAGCATGAAGACGACAGAAGCGTTTCTTCAGGACTCTCTACAGCTGTGACATGTCACTTTGCAAGTGAGCTTTCTAATCAGCACAGAAAAGGTAAAAGGTACCAGAGGACCACTAAAAATGTCACTTGCCTAAGATAATGGAGCTCTGATAACCTCTCCTCCATGCAAAGCATTTATATGCAGCTTTCTCAGCCTCCCTAGAAAATACACAGTTTTTTTTTAATATGTGGATTAGAACAAATTTCTCACCTACCTCCAGGGAGGATAAAATGCCCAGTTTCAGGGGTGGGGGAAGGTTCCACCAGACCCTCTGAGCTTGTCAGTTGCCACAGTTCACTTTCTCCCCAGGTCTGGCTTCTAAGAACGCAAGCAGGACCACAGGCAGCCAAAGCATCTTCTTCTGGAAACCCTTCTTAAAATCTAGACCCTTCCCGAAGCCAGAGGCAGGCTCAAGGCGGAGCGGCTCTGCATGCGCTGGTGGAAAACAGCACTGCTGGATGGAGACCCTGCTGGGCACCCACCGCGCAAGGGGGGAAAAAAAAGTGTGACTTCTACCCTTCCTCTGGATCCGACTGCCTTTCTGCGAACCCAGCCTCTCAATCCGCAGGAAGTCACAGACCCCAGCTTCAGCGTCACCAACTGATCCCGAGCCAGACCCGGGGCGACCAGTCAGCTGGTCGAGGAGCCCAAGACGCCGAACCACGAACTGTAGAGCTCGGCCAAAAAAAATAATAATAACTGTGGTTGGAGAGGCTGGTGGTGCCGGAGAAGTCGCTGTTGCAGTGCCCGCATCCTCCGCATGCTAATGAAGCCGTGACGTCAGCAAGTCAGTCACGGCATCTGGACGTCCCGTCCCGCTGCCCAGCACCGAGATTTATTTACATGTAAATTAGCCTCGCCTTCCCAATCAATAATCCCCAAGACAGGGAGGGGTGGGGGGAAAAGCCTTCTCTGGATAGGAAGGCCCTAGGTCTGCACCCTCCTCCGAAGGAGTACAAAAATATCACACGTTAAGAAGACAGGCTTTAAAGATATACGCCTATTTTCTTTTCTTTTTCTTTTTTCTTTTTAAAGGTTGTGCTCTTGTGTGCCGGGGATCGGATCTGGGCACAGTTATCAACCTGAGCGCCTGTTTTAGATTATATGTTGCATCAACCCAGGAGTGGAATCCAAGCTCGTTTTTTCCTCCCCTACCCTCCCAAAATGTATGGAGTCTTCAAATGCCTGTACTTTGTTTTCTCTCTTTAACTTTCATTTCTGGGTGTTTGTTGGTCGGAGACTACGTCATCCTTGAATTTTTGTGCATGCCGGAAATAAAACACAAGACTACTTTCCTCAGGTGCTTGGGTGATGAATTAGTCATTGCCTCCCTCCGGCCCTGACCCTAGCTCCTCCTGAGTATAAGAGATGACAAAGCATAAACCAGTCTGAGGACCCTGGGACTCTTAAAGAGCACTTCTTCCATTCCTGCATTTTACAGATTACAAAACCGAGGCTTTGAGTAGAGAAGGGGTTTTTCTTCCTACAGCCAAGCTGGGAGTTCAGCAAGGGTAGGCCAGAACCTGTATTTCCTGCATCTCAGACTGCAGCTTTGTTAAACACCTTTGGGTCTCTAACACCCCATTCACTGCTCCAACAGAGGCCCATCCAAGCCATCACCAAGAAGGAATCCACAGAGCCTGGGAGTCCTGGGTTCGAATCCTTTCATTTCTGCAAGTGATGTGACCTTGGACTAGTGACCTTGGACCTTGGACTAGTCACTAGTAACTAGTTACTGGCAACTAGCTACCAATAACTAGTAACTAGAAACTCCTGGGGTCTTCAATTTCATCTGTAACTTCCCTTCATTCAAGAAATATCTGCTGAGTATCTACTCTGTGCCATGCACTGTTCTAAAGACTAGGTATAGATACAGCATCTGCTCTCTCCTAGCTCATTCTAGTGAAGGCCAAGTGTTGAATGCGACGGCAGTGAGGACTGATACAATGTCACTCTCCATAAATAACAGTGATTTCTGACATTTTGGAAGAAGTCAGAAAAAAAAAAAATCACCAAGGCCTTCTTTCCACTAGGATGGTCATTGTTTCTATCCTCTATTTCCATGGTCATCTCATCTTCTGGTTTAAAATCAAGTGTTCTTTCAGTTCTGCCTGTCTATGCTGTGAGAGGCAAGTGCCAGCTGATATCCTCACCTGTGTGCTTGTGATAAGGAAATGCTGGGGGTTCCTTAGGTGGAGGCTGAGGGAGGGGCCGGGGAAGTGGGGAGATAGGTTTATCCCATCATGCATGGAAGCGGTCCCCAGGACAAAGCAGCCAGCACGGCTCCTTGCCCACACTCCCCCCGCCTAAGGAACCCACTCTGATGAGCTCTGCCCTTCCAGTGGGAGTTCCTGAAGCTTCAAATGAATTTCTTTGTTAGATGTGGGGAAGTTAAATTATTCTTTTGTTATATGTAATTGTATTAATAATGCCCTATAACTTCTTTCAGAATGCTTCTCTTTGGTTCAGAGAAGACCTTTCATGGTGAAAATCATGGGACCTGGTCTGACTTGGCACTAACTGAAACAGAATACGAATAAAGGAGTCCCACTCCGCTTTAGGTGTCCATCACGCAGAGCTCAGAGCAGGTGGGGAAGCGGATGGTCCCCTTAGACCTCAATATCCTTCAAGGAGGAGAGCAAATACGACATTTTGGGGCCACCAATGGTGAGGAGGCATCCTACTCTGGTGTGGCCATTGACATTTGCTAACTGAATGATTTGGGGCCAGAGTTTTCATCTGTAACAGGATGGACAAGAACAGTGTCTTCCTTTGCAGGGCTGTTCAGAGAATCAAATGACCCTCAGAATTGAGCATTGAGCACTGAGCACTGAGCACACATCAAACATGAAGTTAATGTGAGCTCTTGGTACCTGGACGTAATGATGCCTTCACTGGTAACTTTGGCACTGATGAGTTAATGGACTAGACAAAGTCAAAAAACAGGAGGAAGTAGGTCCATGGAGACAGCAAAATCATCCCCACTTCCGGGGTATAACTCAAAGTTCCACCTAACGCGGGCGAGCTACTGATGTGCCCTTCACATCAAACAACAGACATTTGCAAGGGGCATGAAACGAGGGAAATAAGCAGCCAAAATGACCAACAGGCACTAGAGGCCTCCCCCGCTGAAGCTGCACAAGAGGGCAAGACAGCTAGGCTCCTGGGAAGCATGGACACTTCATTCATTCCTGTAACCCTGCACTCATTAAATGAGCTCCTACTATTTGTCAGTCACTGGGTTAGGCCTCAGGGACATCCTGGTGACCAAGACAGACATGAGTCCTGCCTTTAAAAAGCTCAGAAGTGAGAGGGGAAGACAATTAAGCAAGCAATTAGAGCGAATGTGATGCATGTCAGGATAGGGCACGTGCAGGGGTTCTCAAAGGTCTAACCACAGTTAGGAGGGGGATGGTGCAAAAGCACGTTGCTGAGGTCCTTGTGACAGCGTGTGCTCCATGAGCACAGCTTGGTGATGGGGAACCTGGAGATCTATGCATTATCCTTGTACAGATTAATAAAATAATAAAGCCCACGGATCAGTAATGCCTCATGACAATCATTTTCATCCCGGACACCACCCTACTCGGGATTTTTCCAAAATATACTGCAAGGTGTTAGACAAGGTGAGACCCCAGCTGCTTGGAAATTTCAGAGACCTGGTAAATGGGGACAAACCTCACACTGTTCTTTTACAAAAACAGAGTGAAATTCCACAGTAATGAGAGCAAACTTCTTGGCAGGGGGTGGCAGGGAAAACAAGGAATGCCTATGAGACAATCAAGTATTTATTGGGGATCTGTGAAATTCAGGACACTTCTTGAGACAAGGACACAAGTGCTGACCTTCAGAACTTTCTATTTAGACAGAAAATAAGATATTCATATAAGTGGCTGGAACTGCATACCGTGTATAGGTAGAGACACGCAGGAGACTAGATTCATGGTGGCAGAGGTGATCAGAAATCAGGAAAAGTATGATCTGAGTTCTGTTGAAGGTCAAAAAAAAAAAATCTTTCTTTTATCCTGGAATGAGAAAACAATTTTATGGGGGCGGCAGGGGGAAGCTTTACCCAGCATGACCCAATATCCACAAGCCATAAAGGTAAAGTCGGCTGTAATTGCCAAGGTCAAATATGAGCTGCCAGAGAAGGTGATGCAGGCAGGAAGAAGAGCACAGATACGAGGGGAAAGTGTTAGCACCCGTGCAGAATTAAAGACGCATCTGTAAGGGCACAGGACAGCAGAGCGACACTGACGGGACGCTGGTGGGGCTGACGAGAGGAGCTCCTGACATTGAGGAAAATCAAATCGGCTTTACATTCTAGCCAGCATCCGTTAAAATCTTGTTAGAGGAGTAGAGGGGAGGGTCAGCAAATCACTGCTGGTGGCTCGCTGAAATGGCAGGGGGACTGTGGCCCCCAAGATGAAGGCTCTGTGCAGGGCACTCCTAAGGAACAGTTTCTTACCTCCATTTCTGGAGGTATAAAATAAAATGAAATGGATTTGAAATGAACTAAAGAGGGACCTCGCTCCGACTCAAGGGACTTTTGAATACTGCGATGGTAGGAACTGGCATTGGTCACTCAGAGCAACAGCAGGGACTTGGTCTCAGGGACACTTGAAAAGGAGAAAGACAGGGCACCTCTGGTGCAGGAGGTTATGCGTCTGACTCTTGATTTTGACTCAGGTCATGGTCTCACGGTTATGAGATCGAGCCCCATATCGGGCTCTGTGCTGGGCATAGAACCTACTTGGGATTCTCTCTCTCCCTCTGCCCCTCTCCCCACTCTCTCTCTTAAAAAAAAAAAAGAAGAAGAAAGAGAAAGAGAGAGATAGAAAGACAGCACCAGTCCTAGCTAGTTTAGATTAATACCTCCTGGCCCTGTTACTGTGAAATCCTAATTGCCATAAGGGATATTACCAAAGTTTCAAAGCATGTATCTAACAAAGATCAAAAGTTCATTTAAGTTTATTTTATTAAGAAAAAAGTATGTATGAGCAGAATATACATATTATATGTGTGCTTATAGTTTATAATTTAATTTTATTATAATTTATAATTACATATAGTATGTATAATATATATTCTATACACACTATATATAATTTTAAAGAATATTCTTTAAAAACTTTATACATACATATATATGTGTGCATATATATGTGTGTATGTACATATATATATATGTACATACACACACAAATGCATAGTTTTATATAGTTTTAAATGATCCTCAAATTTCAAAATCTAGTACTTTTTAAAAAATGGGGCCGAGGAGGCTGACAAAGAATTGTTGTATTAGCTGGGATAGGCTGGACTCTGGTGCAGTAACAGACAATTGTAGTCTCAGCAGTTTAACCACAAGAACTGATTTCACACTCATGCCAAGCTGCCTGGAGGGGCAGGGGTTCTGCAGGGACTCGGGGATCCAGTCAGCTTCCCTCTGGTGTTTCTGTGGTCTCGACACCTAACCTCTGGAGATGCAGTTAGGTGACTTGGCCTGGAGGCAAATGACATCACTTCTAGCGAAGACTTTGTCCCATGACCTCACCCAGCTGCAAGGTGGCTGGGAAGTACAGGCCGAGGAGGCAGGGACAATAAAGAGATCCTGGGGAGCCCTGATAACACTTAACCACAGCTATCCATTTTAATTTTGGCCACGTAAATGGATTAGCACAATGTACTAAAACCATCATGTCTTAAAACAATGGGATGTCAAACATCAAAGGATGATGACATTTCGGGGCGCCTGGGTGGCTCAGTGGGTTAAAGCCTCTGCCTTCGGCTCAGGTCATGATCCCAGGGTCCTGGGATCAAGCCTCCAATCGGGCTCTCTGCTCGGCAGGGAGCCTGCTTCCTCCTCCCTCTCTCTCTGCCTGCCTCTCTGCCTCCTTGTGATCTCTGTCTGTCAAATAAAATAAATAAAATCTTTAAAAAAAAAAAAAAGATGACATTTCTAAATGAATGCTAGACATCAAGGATGCATCTGCTTCGCTCATTTGCTCTAAAAAGAAAAATGACAAGAAAAAAATCCACATTCTTGATTTGTAATAACTCTCAAGCAACAACAGAGAACCCATACAACTCTGAGGAAAATGAACCGGTGAGGTTTCTGGAGGGCAGGTAAGACACATAAGGGGCTCACCGGGTGCAGGTAAAGATAAATAAGGCTCCTTCGCAAAAAAGAAACACTCCAGGGAGATTCCCCTCAACAGTTTCTATCCACTTTTCCAATTAGGACTTACAATAAAACATCTGCCTCCTGTAACAGAAAGACCTGAATTTCACGTCGGCCTTATGATCTCCTTGCCTACGTGACTTGGCAAGAACAGCCACTCATCTTTTCTAAGCCTCAGTTTTCCCATCTATAAAATGGAGAGAGACC